GTATCATTTACCTGCATTATTTATTATTTAAAACATGCAGACCTAATGAGCTGAATGTTCTAGGTAGCAGGATTGAACAATTATGATTGTATTTTAGCTGAAGAGTCTCATCAGTTTTTTGCCTGATATCGATGTTTTTAGAATTGTGCAGTTATGTAGTAAAATATTTTTGAAAGATTGAACTTCACGATCCAGTGGAAAAATACTGGATTTCTCACTACGTTGTGCAAGTTGATTAATTCATATACTTAATCGTCCTAAAGACTTTAGATATGGCCATGGTCACGTAAGTGATGAGTCCTTATTACCCTCTACTGGAAGAAGATCCCAAATAGTTGGTTTTTCTTGATTCTTGAGTACTGTGACAGCTTTCCCGTTCATCTTTATCTGAGAGGCTGAAGAGGAAGCATCTAAACACGTTAGCTTCACTCGAATCTGATACGATGTCAGCTAATGGGGAAAAGTCCTAATCATCAGACAGAAAATTCTGACAGAAACTGCATTATGTGGATCGCAGGGTACTTGATGAGTAGCAATTCTTGGCAGTATTCTGGGAGGAATAACAAGGACATCTGGGCAGAAAGAATGAAATTTTCTCTTACTTCTGTCTGTGTAGAAAAGGATGCGGCATGTCGGCTTTATCCGATTTCATTATTTATTTGTTTCTGTAGACCAAATCTGTTTCTCCAAATAGTCATTGCAATATAGAACATAGGCCTGGAAGGAAATTTCAAGAGCTATTGATTTCATTTTCGGGGCAAAACCAGTTGCTGATGGTCTGGTTGGGTAAGTAGCTGGTGGATTTTAACTGTGAGGGGCCCCTCTGTCCTGCTGGCAGGGGGACACGGCAGCTCCAACGAAGCTTGAATGTTCTTCAGCACTGAGACTGAGTGCAGACGGGTTAAGCGTGTGAGTTAACCATCACCCAGCTTCTTAGGCAGGTTTGGCAGCTGATAGTGAGTTGCAACTACTCTGCTTTTGCCAGAGATTCTCGCAAGTTTGGAGCCAGCGTATGGATCGCTGCAAATGGACTGCGCTTGTGCCTTAGCGTAGAAGATGTGCCAGTTTTGAGTTCTGTGCAGAGAAAAATCCCCCAATTCTGAATTTATTAAGGAGGAATTTTCTTTTCTCAGCCACTTCGAGCTCATAGCTGGTCAGTGTGAGTCCTTCATCGTAGCATTTGTAAATCGTGGTGCTGAACAGACCGACGTCACGCGGTGTGCAGTTGGGAAAGCACCCTGCTTTCTGTCCTTTACCTTCTTAACGTGGGCTGCTGCCTGTGCAGTTACGAGCATCGCTTATCTCAGCATGGGAGCGGCGTTTGAGAAAGATACCGAGTGTCGGCTGAATGCGTCCGGAGAAGGGCAGCAAAGCCGGGGAGGGACTCAGGAGCAAGTCTCGTGGAGCGCAGCTGAGGGAGCTGGGGCTGTCCAGCCGGGAGGAGAGGAGGCCGAGCGGGGACCACGCTCTCTACACTCCCTGACAGGAGAGTTTAGCAGGGTGTGGGTCAGTCTCTTCTCCCAAGTACCAGTGATAGGACAAGAGGAGACGGCTTCAAGTTGCACTGGGGGAGGTTTTGATTGGACATTAGGAGAAATTTCTTCACAGAAAGGATTGTCAAGCCCAGGTGCAGTCCCTGCTGTGGTAGATGCGGTGTGCGGGGACGCAGGTTGGCCGTGGGCCTGGTGGTGCTGGGTTAACGGTTGGTCTTGATCTTAAGGGTCTTTTCCAACCTGAATGATTCTATGATTCTATGAATGGGGAGAAAACTGGGGTGTAGCTGGGCTGAACGGTCCTTCCTGCCCATCCACGGGCGTGCAGAGCTCTTCCTGCGGCCGAGCCCTGGCTGGCAGTCCCAGCCCATTGCCTCCCTCCTCTCCTGGGAGACCTGATGTTACAGAGCGGTGACGTGAGGCCAGTCCCCTGGTGAAATGTGTTAATCTTCCCTTCGCCAGCAGCACCCTCAGCCACCCGCCTGGGGCCCGGCTCTCGTCCGGCAGCTGAGCCGTCGTGCTCTCAGGGCCAGCCCTGTAGAGTCTGTTTACAGTAAGTGCTGTGGGAAGAGGCCGTCAGCAAGGCCCTTGAGCCACATTTAAGATCACTACATAAACAAATGAATCACTTCTGTGAGGAAAGATAAGCAGGGCAGCGTGTGAGCTCTCGTTTGTTTTGTATGGTGAGGTGGGATTTTTTTCGGTTATTCCTGTGCTGGAACTCCTGGACTTGCATTCTTGTGTATTTTAAACTATTGAATGTTTGACTGCGTGTTGAAAATGGTTTGAGATTTCTTTTCAGTCTCCTTTAGTGAAGAAGGCTGGGCAAGGGGATTTTTCCTGTCGGTATTTTGCGAGTTAAGTGGAACTTCTTCCTAATTCTGATCCCTCTGTTATGAGTAATTGAGGAGTATCTTTAGACAGCAATAATCCTGAAGTCATGCCACTTAGAGATTAAGAGGAAATCAGTCCTATTTCTCCCTAAGCTTCTTGTCAAGTATTGAAGAAAACGCCGTGATACGGATAAGCAGCTTTGGTGCAGGTTTCACTTTTCAACTGAAATACTCTGCTGAAGTTAGTATCTGCTGATTTCTGGAATGCCTTTCCCTGCACTTCTGCATTCAGTTTCCACATTCCGACTTTGCCTTCACGTAGCAGCGTTCCTTGCCGGGTTGGCCTGGTGCTCAGTGAAATTGCCGCTCTGTTTCCATTCGGCGCAGTGAATTTTCAAGACTGCCAATACTTAAAGTAGTGACTCTTTTTTTTGTCTTACATCACTCCTTGAGGTTTGGTTTTCATGGCAATCCCCTTTACAAACAGAGTGTTGTACTTCTGTCTTTACAAATCTCCTTCATCAGCCTCCCAGCTCACTGTACTCTCGGCACTAGGGCCCCTTTACAGCCTGTTTTGCTGAATTCAGAAGATATTCTAAAAGCTCACAAGTCCTGCTTTCTTGGAGGTGTGGTTTTTTCTGTAATACAAACTCATTTACGTGAGAGTTGAACATGTTCGTTGAAAATTGATTTCAGTTGCTTTAAGTTGTGTGATTTGTTGGGATCATTTCTCAAATCATGATTTTAAGACACTTGCATTTCTGAGTAGGATCAGAGAAGCTCCCTGGCATTTAGATTTGTGACTTACTTGACTTTCAGAAACTGTAACGATGTCCATGGTTCACCAGGGTGATGTTAGGACTTAAGAAAATGGGCTGTTGCAAAGGAGTTGATGTCTTTCTCAGGCTGTTTTCATCTCTCAAGCCATGGGATAGTCCTAGCGAGCACAAGTTAGTTCTCATGTGCCCTTAACCATGGGTGAGTTTGTCCATCTGCCACATATAAATTTTCAATATGTTCCAACAAATGCCAGTGCTGCCCCGGGTACGGCATACGGCTCGGCAGCAGGAGATTTTGTCATCCCTCCCATTAACACTTCATCTTTGACTTGCGATCCTCCTGCGTGACGCTTTACTTTGCAGTGGTTTTACTGCTGAAACCCCACTGTATGCCACAGTTCCAAACTGTGTAAACGTCTAGTTGTGGGGTAGAAGAGGGTTAGCTGGATAGCGGGCTGTCGAGGAGTCTCGGCGAGGCAAAAAAACCCAGCAGCCAGGAGGGGCATCACAGGGACTGGCTGTTCCCAGCGTGGTTTGTGGGCTTGTGGGAAGTTGGTCGCTATTTCTTATTTACCCTCCCGGTCTTGGAGGATTTTGAGATCTAGTGAGTAATAACTCCACCTAGAGAAACAAGCTACTAACTTCCCTGATTCTCTTTTGAAAAAGGCCCGTTATACCAAGGATTCCTTCTCGTCGCTGACGCTCGTGTCAGGATGCACAGGAATATGGCAGAGAAGGAGTCAGTGAACCCTGCTGATGTCCACCACGGAAAGTACAGGATTTATGTGTGCAGCCAAAACATTTCTCATGTCAGGAAAGACTCTAGCCTTGGTCAAAGCCATGGAGCTTAGATGATGCAATTTTCATTTTCCTTCAAAGGAAATTTTCATATTCTTCCTATGGCAAGAGGTTCCCCATCACTGATTCTATCCTCTTGTAAGCTGTTCCCTCCGTTTTAATATTCTGCTGTTCTTGTCTGTCCTTTCTGATGGTTTATCTCAAGTTGTGAGTAATGTGAGGGCGGCACTTTTAGTAGCTGTGGATCACGAGTTGCGAGTTCTGCTTCTGAAGGTGGGGTGTGACCGTAGTGGCACGGCCACTTCAGTGAAGGCTTTCCAGCGCCTCCTCAGGGGTAGAGGCAAGCTGCTCAAGGCTTCTGTTTTCTGATGTGTGGAAAAGAAAAACAACATCTCCCTGCACAGATCGACTGACGTGAGCTAATGGAGTCTGTGTCCGTAGTCTGAAGTACCCCGGTCAGTGGTCTGACGTGTCTGTGAGTGGCACAGAGGATCCTGGAAGCTCTGCCTTGTATCTTAAAAAATGAAATCCTTACGAAATGGTTTTAAAGTAGCATGAATCTGTGTTACTGTATTTCTACTGAAGTATGTCCAACCTTATTAATATCTTCAGCGTTTTACGGATTCTGAACCTGCAGTGCACTGAGAGTATTGTTGGAAACTGAACATATCTGAGTGAAAGTACATCATATACTGCTGTGATTTCTTTGGTGGAGGACAAGTTCATTATCTCTTCACTCCTAGGCTACTGCCAGACTTAAATTAGCTTTGTTACTGTGGCTATTTTTCCTTAATAGATGATCTTGGATGCTTTGCTTTCTGGCTTATAAATGTTACTTCATGGTGTGTGGATAACTCTGAATTTTGTTGCAAGTGAATCATGCTTTTTTCTTTTTTTTAATATACAGACACTAAGGCTGCGGTGGTAGAGCAGTGAAGTAAAAGATTTGACTCAGCAACATGTGTGAACTAATGCGTCTCCATTTAATATTTGTCTGAGTAACCTGCTGTCTCACTTCAACGCTTTCTTTATTCCTTCTTCGTGATAGGTCCCTGAACAACAGCTTTTTCACGTAAACTGACAGAAGTGAAGAAGAGATGGCGAGTTCGGCCCGAGAACATCTGCTTTTTGTGCGACGCCGCAACCCGCAGCTGCGGTATACCCTGAGCCCGGAGAATCTGCAGAGTTTGGCGTCTCAGGGCACCATGGCTGAGAACATGAACTTGCAGCGTGCCAACAGCGACACGGATTTAGTGACCTCGGACAGCAGGTCCAGTCTGACAGCCAGTATGTATGAATACACCTTGGGGCAATCGCAGAACCTCATCATTTGCTGGGATATTAAGGAAGAAGTAGACCCGACTGACTGGATAGGACTTTATCACATAGGTAAGTCAGAAACGCGTAGTAATGTTTCTGTCTGTCTCTTGCTTCATATGTCCTTTTCTGGACCGTGATCTGACATGCTGTGTAATTAATCTAAAGATTTCAGTTGAGGCAAGGCTGCAGAGACCTGCCTTGGATTTCTCTTTGCTTTTCTTACTGCAGTGAGCTTTGTAAAAACACGGTTCTAATTGATGTAGAACTGTTTCCACAGTGACCTGCTAGAAGATGAAACGTGCTCTTCTTAACAAACGTGCGTACAGTTTCCTGTTTTCACCTTTGCTGATGGCTGGCTTATAGACTGGAAAATTGGGAGTACCGTACGCATCGTGTAACTTGACGTGCTCACAGTTTTTTTGGACAAGTAAATTCTTAACATTTGTGAAAAGGTATTTTGTGCAAGTCTTTGATTTTTGTAGAACCGAAGCTGATTCTGAAGGAGGGGGAATTTCTGTTTACGAACAATTCTTGTAGAAGGAAATCCTCCGAAGAGATCCTTCTACGTGCTTTTTTGTGCTGGTCAGGATATTTCACAGGAGGGAGCTAGAAAGGGCTCAAGGCAGGCACGTGAGGGCCTGCAGGCGGTGTGTGCGTTGGCAGAGTACGTGGCTCGGAAGGAGCGGATCAGTAGGTCAGAACAGTTGGTGCTGAAGACCCTGGCATCAGCAGCGTACTGGGTTTGGGATTTTCGACTGTGCGATGTTCCGTCAGGTCCCTAGATCCAAACACCCCCACTGCCGTTGTGGTTTGGAGCTCTCCAAAGGACGGTCTTTATGCCCCCGCTAGGAACTGGAGCGTAGCTACTGAGTAACTGCAGTGGCACCTGGGGGGTTGTCATCTTCTCAAGGAATCCAGTTCACCGGTGCTAAAATTACTCCCTGAATTTAACCAGTGCTCAGTAAGTGGGACTGATCAGTTGATTTGTTTCAAAGTTGCGCTGCTTCTCTGCACCTAATTACTGGTGTAGAAGGGGACCCTCAGTTCAGGCTGCCAAAAGCAAGCGTGGCAGACACTGGTGGAAGCAGATCTGATCTTTGCGGTTTTATCTGTGCTGCTGGGGCTACTACGCTTAGTGCAATGAAGTCGGTCTCTGTAGGATTTTGGAGAGAGATTTGCTGTGCCAGTATGTTTTTTTTTTTACCCAAGGTATTGCATCTCTGCGTCACTTAACTTTACAAGCCGTGTAGATGCAGCTTCCAGTTCTGATTCTTTTTTTCTCTGGTAGTTTTTTCCAACATTACTGCAGCTTCACAAACTGGACAGTATTGCCTTGTGCTGTGTCCCAGTGCTTACGTGGTCACAAAAGCCATCCTGGAGCTGCTGCACGAGCTGCAGTCTCTGCAGGAGTGGAACTGAGGGCACGTGTGAACATTTAAGGCACTTAAATGAAGTGTCTCCGTAATAAACATGAATCTTTCCAACAGCATTAGCTGTAAAGTGCGCAGACTGCTATATGGAGTTCAAATGTTCGGATTTAAATACATGGAGAGCTTTGTCTGAATTAAGGCTTGACACCCCTTCCCATTGGATTTCTCACGGTTCACAGCACTTCAGGATTGGTATTCAGGATGCTCAAGTGCAGCATCTTTCTGTAAAATTCTCATTGGCCCTTGTCATAGGCTATAAGTGATTTTTACCCTGCTTTTATGATTCAGAATCTTTCTAATTTCAGTCTGTTGAGCTCCTGAGGTACTAAACACTGTTCAATTACCACAGGATGAGAACCCTAAGAGAAACAGCCAGATTTAGGTTTTCTTGGCCCTAAACTCACTGTTATGCGGCTCTGTGATCCCAGAGCGTCTGAACGTGTTTAGTTTCCTGTTTTCTTGTTAAATAAGAAGTCTGGGAGCTCATTCATGTTGAGCTTTTCTCTCCACCACCCCTTGAAATCCGTGAGCACCGGTGAGAGTTTTGTTACTGATTTAATATGGATCGGAGCAGAGTCTTTCCTTCAAGGCTTGTGGTATCGTCATTCTGAACGGTGGAATTTTTTACAACAGAGAGGTGTAAGGATATATCGTTGACTTTTTTTTGTCCCAAGTACCCAGCATCTTCTAAGATGAAAAAATGGTAAAAGAGTTATGTAAGAGCACAGTCTAAGAACCTTTCATTTGCATAACTTTTAAGGGCATAGCTAAGGTAAGCTAAATCTCACAGGGCATAATCCAGGATTTTCAGTCCCTTGTATTAATTGCCATTAAGTGCCCCCAGTTCCCACTTACTCCTTTGAAAGCTAGGGATGCTCCTTACTCTCTCAGGAGAGGGATGGTTGTGGGTGAACAGATTTAAAAATGAAGCTCCTTTCTCAAACAGATTGTTAATATTCACTGCAGTTACCTAGGGTTATCCATGCCTTTTTTTAAAAAAAACCAAAAACAAACAACAAACCCAAACCAAAAAAGTGATCTGTTTTCTTGCTGAGGGACTGCTTTGTATGGAGAGGGCTGTTGTCTTTCCCAGTGTATTCCTAAGGATTACCCGAAGGAAAGCGTATGTGAGGGTCGCAGTGTGTTCTGTGAAGGCAAACTTCCTTTCTCCTGACTGTTTCTGACATGGTACTGTGTGAACTTTTAAACATGTCTGTGGCACTTCTGGAAAAATCTCATCCATCAAGTTTTGCTGAAGCAGCTTTCCAGCTCCAGAAGCGACGCGTGTGGAGACCGCAGAGGACGCACCTGTCAAAGCACAGGAGGGTGTCCCAGCGAGACTGCACCCAAGGGAGAAATGGGACTTCTGGGTCTTGGCTCTTCTTTAGGTAAATCGGGTAGTGTTGTCAAATCTGAAATACAGGTTTATCCTTTGGAATTCGGCTTTAAGCTTTTCCTAGAATAGGCTTCTCATTTCTGCTGCAGAGTCAGGTAGGGAGACTCACTTGAAGTGCCAAGGCGTGATAGAATTTGGAGAGCAGGCTTTTTAGTAGAGTATTGTACCTGTACTTCCTCTGAGGAGTAAAGGTAAATTTTGCAGTCGTTCTGTCCTCATGAAAAGGGAGAGGTCTGTTCTCTCATATTTTTTAAAAACTATCTTTTAGAAGAGCTAAACTAGGGTTTAGACTGAAAACCGTCTTCATGTTTTGAAGTGGTGCAAGACTACAGAATTTAACAAACACTTTTGTCATCCTGTTAGGCTCACAAAGTTTCCTTACGCAGTACTGACCTAGGTTTCGTTGTGTGCACGTGTGTTTTAAAAATGTTTCTTCCAGGCAATTTTTAAGCTATTAGAATTTTAATTGACTTTTTTTTGGGTCTAATTAAGAGGAATCTGAATCTTGCTATGGCAAGAGTGGCCAGACTCTGGAGTGCTGTAGTGAGTCAGGCTGCCCAAAGTACTGGACCCAGTTGGAGTCAAAGATGAGAAGTGGATATTCAGTTTGAAGGGACTGTGAGGCATCCTGGTTTCCGTGCTGTTGTGTTATCGTAGCAACAGGGCGCCAGGACTTTCCTGGGAAGCGAGAACTGCTCAAGAAGAGGAGCAGCTGGACCCTCCACTGCTGGTGGGGTGCTGAGGGCAGTTGAATCTTGATGAGTTTTGTGGGTTGTCATGAAGCCTTACATTTAAAGAAAGCAGAAAGTACGACATCAAGAATAAGAAGTCGGGAGACAGAAGCAAACCCTGCTTTCGGTTTAGATAGATGAACTCCTACGGCCAAATTGCCCAGGCTGGCCTATTTTTGTCCTAATTGACAGAGGCCTAGTTATGAGATGCGTGCCCTTATTCTGGAGATGCTTAGCACATTTACAGTGCTGGCTCTCAGAGGGCATTATGTTTATTTCCATCAGCTGCTTTGCGCAGGCTGCTTGGCTTTCTGTTATATCTACAGCCTGGATCCACAATAGCATCATAAAAACAAAACAAAAAGTCAAAACAAAAAAAAATCCTGGAGCACAGTTATATAGGGCAATTTAGATAGGATCTAGGTTTTATACTAAGCCTCCGAGAGTAATGGAGTTTGGAGCCTTTCCATGTCAGGTCAGACAAGATTAAAAAGAAAGAAGCTTTTGCATAAACTGCCTTTAATACACTTAAAATAGTGGCTTACATTAGACAGAGAGATTATAAAATGTTAAGATGCTTTATTCCCAGAAGATTTCTCTGTTTTCCAGGATAGAAAACATACAAAGTAATAACTTTATTATCTTCCAGAAAAACCTGATTATTCACTTGATTTCCACCCCCACCTCCCACCCCCCTCGCCCCGTTTTAGCAATGTAAGTACTTCTCTGTACTACAAAATCAGTTCTCTTCAAAAAATGGAAGGACCAGCTATGGCTCTGAAGCTCTGGAAGCGCCACAGCTGTGCGGGTTGAGAAGTCAGTGAAACTCTGAAACTCCCACTGGAGCTGTGTGCTGAAATAATGTGATTAACAAAGCCAAGTTTGTAGTGGACGGTGAGTAGGATTGCAGGAGAGAACCTGAATTCATCTTGGCCTGCAGCTGGGGTTGGTGCTAGTCTGTGGCTGTCTGGGGTTGATTATTTGCAAAGGTGTGTGGAAGAAGCTGCCTGGAAATACATCACGCTCTGGTGAGTTAGTAATATTTGGGGAAAGGCCACTTCTTGAGTGGGATAATGAAAAGTGAAAGTGGTCTAATATAGGAATTGTATCCTAAAAACGTCTACAGCGAGGCTTACAGTGGTCTAAAAAAATCCAACCTGTGACAAGCCAAGGGTCTTCAGAAGCTTTCCCTCCAGGTACTGCCTTTCAATCTTGTTCTTCCCTTTCTTCCTAAATCCTGACCCACATGGAAAGCTACTTTTTCTCCAACACAGAATTTGGTGCTTTCTCCTCCTCAGTTGTGAGCTAGTAAGTTTTGTTCAAAAAAGATCAGTGTATGGACAGCGTAATATCTTCTCTTTACTGCCAGAATTAGAAGATGTGAATGGAAGGTGCTTTCTCGATGTATTTTCATTGCGTACAGCAGATACTTTAAAAGACACACTTACTGGCTTGAAATAAAAAATAAAAAGAAACCCTAGGACCTTGTAGGGTTGTATTATGTCTGGAAGA